GGTGGCAAAACAGTGGTACTTTTTTTTGTCATGCAGCACATATTTGAAATGCAATTTTAAACATTATACAGTGTCAAAAATGGCAGTTCGGCTAGAGATGTAGCTCAGTGGTAGAGTATTTATCTAGCACGTGAGAAGCTCTGGATTCAATTTCTAGCACTGAAATCAGTCAATCAATCAATCAAGGTCCCAGAGAAATTTCTTCCAACTGACCAAATGCATCAGAAAGGAAAGTGCATCCCAGAGAGTTCAGGAAATATTTGCCTCTCTAGAATAAACAAACAACAACCAAAAATACAACCAAAAAACAAAAAAAACTTGCCAGACACGGCAGTGCATGCCTACTGTCCCAGCAACTCGGGAGGCTGAGGCAGGAGAATCATGAGTTGAAAGCCAGTCTCAGCAGACTAGTGAGGCACTTAGCAATTTAGTTAGATCCTGCTCAAAATAAAATATAAAAAAAGGGCTGGGGATGGGCTGGGGCTGTAGCTCAGTGGCAGAGCACTTGCCTAGCACGTGTGATGTATTTGGTTTGTTTCTCAGCAGCATATAAAAAATAAAGGCATGCTGCCTACCCACAACTATAAATTTTTTTTTTTTTTTTTAAAAAGGAGGGGTAGGGCTGGGGATGTGGCTCGGCGGTTAAGCGCCCTAGGTTCAATCCCTGGTACCAAAAAAAAAAAAAAAAGAATTTACACATCCAGATTAACATCAATTTTTAAAATCATCTTGGCACTTATGTATACTGTCTCCTGTGCTCACTGACTCCAGAAGCCTGCAGTGCAGAGGTCCCTACTGTGACTGCTTTCCCCAAGTTTGTCCTCTCAGCAGGCACCCCGAGTTCTGAAGACATTTCCTTTCCAGAAAAGAACAAGATCTATCAGCCAATCTTAGACTTGCCTGTTGAAGACCCAAATATTACACAATTCATATTTCACCCCTACATGCATTTTAATTGAAAAACTTCTATTTTAATTTTATTAGTGTAATTTTTTAATATTTATTTTTTAGTTTTAGGTGGACACAATATCTTTATTTTTTTATGTGGTGTTGAGGATCGAACCCAGCAGCCCGAGCATGCCAGGAGAGCATGCTACCGTTGAGCCATGTCCCCAGCCCAATATTAGTGTAATTTTTAAACAAAAGGTATAACAACCCATGAACCAAGACTGCAATGCTGTTTCATGTGAAAGAAGTTTCCAAAACTACTTTGGATCCTTTTTTACATTAGGTTTTCATGTCAGAAAAATCTATTCTTGCCTTAATTCCAAAATTTAGAAGACATTTCTTTCTTTCTTTCTTTTTTTTTTAAAGAGAGAGAGAGAGAATTTTTTTTTAATATTTATTTTTTTAGTTTTCGGTGGACACAACATCTTTGTTTGTATGTGGTACTGAGGATTGAACCCCGGGCCGCACGCATGCCAGGCGAGCGTGCTACCGCTTAAGCCACATCCCCAGCCCTAGAAGACATTTCAAAATATACCCAGATGTTACTTAAATTTAAAGTCTTTTTTTTTTTTTTTTTTTTTTTTGAGACAGGGTCTTGCTAGGTTGCTTACAGCTTTACCAAGTTACTGAGGCTAGCTTCTAACTTGTGATCCTCCTGCTTCAGCCTCCCATGCTGCTGGGATTATAGGCATGTGTCACCAGGCCTGGCTGAAATTTAAGTCTTTACTCAGCTGTTCAACATTACACTATGAAGATACAATCCACAAGTCTGATGTGATAAAACCATAGTCAGAAGCTAAGCTTTTCTATTTTTGTGTGGATTTTTATTTTATACTGATGACATGATCAGCACTATGTAATAGAGTGGGCATGTGATTAATGTTTTAAAATATAGAAATATAAATATTTCCCCAGAGGAACTATTCCTATTAATCTTTTTTTTTTTTGCATTTTCCTTCATTTTCTATTTCTCATACATTTATTTGTTACAATTGCTTTTTTCCCTCCTCCCATATTAATTTTCTGTGTATTCTTTATCTTTACACTGGTTTACTTCAAACCCTAATTGCACATTTCTCACCCTTTTCCTCATTTCTTTTCCTATGGTCTCTACCTTTCTATCAATTTCTAAGGTACACATTAGCAGGAATAATTAATTTGCTTATCTTTTGTTCCCTATCTGGCTTCTGAAATGATTGATCAGCCCTATTCTTCTTCATCTTGGAAAAATTTAATTTTCCTGGCAGTTTTGGGAAGAGGTTTCTGATTTTCTCCCCAAGATCTGAATTTCCTCTTCATAAATTAAATTAATTAAATTCCTCTTCTTGCTTTCCTTTCCTTTCTTTCTTTTTAATCTTTATTGAGTACTTCAACTATTTAATTTCAAAAAGTTTTTCCTGATGTCAGTGGCGGACAGCTGTAGTCCCAGTGGCTTGGGAGGCTGAGGCAGGAGGATCTCAAGTTCAAAGCCAGCCTCAGCAACTTAGCGAGGCACTAAGCAACACAGTGAGATCCTGTCTTTAAATAAAATACAAAATAGGGCTGGGGATGTAGCTCAGTGGTCAAGTGTCCCCGAGTTCAATCCCTGGTACCCTTCCCCCGAAAGTTTTTCCTCTTTTACTATCTACTGAATACTCAGAAACTTTCTTATTTGGGACTTTACCAATCTAATGGTGTGTAGGAGTGCTGACAGTTTAAAATCTCTTCTCATTCTGCAAAGAAACAATGGAAGGTTGGAAAGTAAATGTAGCTATTTATGTTTTGATCACAAAATAGGGTAAACCTGGGTTTATTATTGCAATTTTTGGGCTGGGGATGTGGCTCAAGCGGTAGTGCACTCGCATGGCATGCATGCAGCTCGGGTTAGATCCTCAGCACCACATACAAATAAAGATGTTGTGTCTGCCGAAAACTAAAAAATATTAAAATTATAAAAAAAATATTATTGCAATTTTAACATTTATTATTAACCCAGTGTTAAGAAATACCCAGAAGCTGGGTGCAAAGGCACAGACATGTAATCCCAGCAGCTCAGGAGGCTGAGGAAGGAGAATCACAAGTTCAAAGCCAGCCTCAGCAACTTAACAAGCAAGCAACTTTGTGAGACCCTGTCTCAAAATAAATAAATAAATGGCTAGGGATATGGGATAGTGGTTAAGCACCACTAGGTTCAATCATCATAGGAAGGAAAAAAAGAAGGAAGGACAGACCCACCCAGATACCAGAATTCAACTTGGTCAGCAGGCAAGGAAACTTGACATTTAGAAATACCTGTCACTTAAAAATGAGAAATTGGGCTGGGGCTGGGGCTGAGCGGTAGAGCACTTGCCTGGCATGTGTGAGGCAATGGATTCAATTCTCAGCACCACATATAAATAAATAAAATAAAGGTCTATCAACAACTAAAAAATAAAGAGAGAGAAATTAAGGGCTGGGTGTGTAGCTCAGTGGTAGAGCACTTGCCTAGCATGCATGAGGCCCTGTGTTAGATCCCCAACACAGGAAACAAAAATTCACTAAAATAGAAATATGAAAAATTGGAAGATGGCTGGGAAAGACAGGGCCCTATGTGTATTTGCCACAGCAACCAACAAATGGCAGACAGCCTGATGAATAAATGAGTGGAGCCATATTGAAACTCATGAGATGGTTTGGCAACACTGAAAACACCCCTCCTGGTTCTGCAGCAGGAAGTGTCATTGGTGAGAGTTTTGGCTTATGTCCTCTGCATCCACCACCACCACATTCCTTCCACTGGACTGTTCTCAACTAGGGACTGAGCGGTAATAAAGAAGGTCAGTTCCTGCCAGATTCCTCTGATGGTGGCTTGGGCCCTGGTGGTCTGCCTGGCACAAGCCTTCTCAGAACTGCACTGCAGCTGAGGCCTTCTGCACTACTCTGTTCTTCCCAGGCTGCCGACCATCCCTGGCGTTGGGGCCAGTGTCAGCTTCTCCACCTCTTCCAGCTCTCTTCAGGATTATGTTCCCCCCAATAAATCTCCGGCATGACCATCTTCTTGGCACCTCTTTTTCAGAGGACCTGATCTAAGAGGGTGGCAAAAGGTAACTGTAAGAAACTCTGCAACAGGCTGCCTCTTCCTGGCCCTGACATGTCCTCCCAAGTCAGTAACTCAAGGACAACTTCCATGTGTGGCCACCTACCACAGCAGCCTCTTATCCTCAGGGCCTTCCCAGGCACACCCTCCTGGTGAAGCCAGATTTAAAGACAGGTAGTCAGTGTAGGTAGGTAAATTGAGTCTGATGGAGAAAACAGAGTCTGATTCAAGTTTGAGAATTGGAAACAGCCCCTGGGAGAATGGAATGTTCATGTCTCCAAAGCCCTTTGATACTCCCCCTCCCAAAAAAGGTTGCTAATTAAACAACTCCTGAGCCACAGGAAGCTGCTCATCAAAGCCCCCTGGGCTGCTGCTCCCTGCCAGCCTAGCAACCCACCTATGCCCTTCAAGCCCACCTGCTCACCCACCCCATGGCCATTCCACCAACATCCCCCAGTCACTATACAGGATGAGGGGAAATGAACAAGAGAAGGGAGAAGAATGCAGAACCCGGGAAACTTCAGACAGAAAGGGACAGGACTTCCTCATCCCACRGATTCCGCCTTGGACTCCTCTTCTTCCCCCTGGGAGAAGTCTATTTTACTATCCTTTAGTGGAGCTTCTTACTCTCTACGCTTGCCTGCCTCAGTGTGCTTCTTTGGTGTTATACTTCAACATTTGAGGAAGCAGGACGTATCAAGCAGTGCCATCACTGAGATACCAGAACCACACCTCAATTACAGACATCCATCTTCTCCACCTCAACTGAGTAAGTGCCATGCCTGGGACACACACACACACACACACACACACACACACACACACTTTGCTCCATCTCAGAGCTGCTATTCATTTGGAGCCAAGCAAGCTTATCCTTTGAGTGCAGTCTCCCTTTCTTAATGAGGCATCACTACTACATTGATAATACAAAAAAAAAATGCTTTGCATAACAATAGCATTTTTTGCTACTTTCCCAAGCCCTTCAGATAAACATTACCTCATTTGATCCTCATAATCCTGAGTGTAGTCAGGGCCAGGTCAGCCTCACTTCACAGGGGAAGAAGTTCAGACTCAGACTTCTAACTTCTGCAAGGATCAATTTTGAAGTCTGTTCAACAACAAAAGGAACCTCTAAGAACTCCTCCGCTTCTAAAATTGTTTAAATTTCATGATTTGAAATCACAAGATGAGTAGTTAGTGGCAGATTAGGGATCTGAAGTGAATGACTCAATGCCAGCTAATTCCCATACCATGGCACCTTTGTGGACACAGCCGTACCTCACATGTATTAACTGTTGCAAGTGCCCTGTACTATGCTAAGTGCTTCTAGGCCTGCAGCAGAATACCACCTCAGCATTTACTGCTCCCTCCCCTCTGTCTAACAGCACTGAGACTTCAGATCCATCCCCACTCCCACCACTCTGCCTCAGGGATGTGCTTGGGTTGGTTTAACCTGCCCCACACTTTCCATTCCCCAGAACTGGCCAGAATGACCCAATATGCAGGAACAGAAGGGCACGCTCTCCTATTGGACATCCCATTAGGAAGCACTGGCTTCTACTCTTGCTGGCTGCTTCTCTGTAGCTCTGAGAGGAAGCCAAGTATTCTTTTTGGGAATGATAGTTTTTAGCAATTAAAACCTATGAGCTGTTTATCTCTAAAACTAGAACAAATAAGATAAGCAAAGGCAGATGAGGTTACTGGGACCCCTGGAGGTTACTGCATCAAGCTCCCACTGACTGTTTGAAATAGGTAGGACTAAATTTCAACCCTCCAGCAACTGACCAGGGGTTATCTTGGCTTTAGCATGTGACAATTTCCAAGCACACTGAGAAAGATCAGACAGACTTAGCTACTGAATAGAACTGTAGTAGTTTGCTGGAGAAGGAGGGGGAGGAGAAGGAGGAGGGAGGAGAGAGGAGGGAGGAGCCCTTTTCTTCATGCCCTGCAGGGATGACACTTACCACCTCCAGGGAAGCAGCTGAGTTCCAGAAATGGTCACAGTGAACCAGGACTCCTTCCCTTCCCCCCATTCTAACCCTTTGCCAAGCAAAGAGCCTCAGAGACTGCCCTGGAGGAAGGAGCTGCCTGCCAAATATCTGCCCACCTGGGGCCAAGGCAAGGGCAAGGCCAGGGACTCCATTCTGTGAACAGCTGGAGAAGAAGTGGGCAAAAGGGCAGCCTTGGGACAACAGGCCTTGTTTCTCACTCTCCTCCTCATTGAGGAATAGCAGGAAGTAAAGTAAGGAAATCAAAGAAACAGTCTATTAACAAAGAACATAACTATTTTCCAAATTCTCTTCCTTATAGATATGACTATACAATTTTGACAGAATCTGAAAGGAAGGACAATTTGGTAGTCCATCAGATTATAGCAAATGTGGCTATTATTCATCAAGGACTGTTAAGCACCTGCCTTGTCCTGGAGACACAGTAGAGAGAGAGAGAGAGAGAGAGAGAGAGAGAGAGAGAGAGAGAAGGCCCCTGCCTCCAAGAGTTCACATCTCAATGGTGGGAGGGAGAATGGGAACAGGCCATCACAGTGAATAAACAAGATGATTTCAGACTGTGCTAAGTGCTCTGAAGGAAATAACAGGGTAATATAACAGAAAGTACCTGGTTTGGGGGCAGGGAGGATATTTACTTTAGACACAGTTATCAGAAATGCCTCCCTGGGCTGGGGATGTGGCTCAAGCGGTAGCACGCGTGCTGCCCGGGTTCGATCCTCAGCACCACACACAAASA